GAGTGAGTGAGTGAGTGAGTGAGTGAGTGTGTGTGTGTGTGTGTGTGTGTGTGTGTGTGTGTGTTTGTGATTGAGTGAGAGTGTGTGTGTGTGTGTGATTGAGTGAGAGAGTGGAGTGTGAGAGAGTGAGTGTGTGAGTGAGTGAGTGAGTGAGTGAGTGTGTGAGTGTGTGTGATTGAGTGAGAGTGTGTGTGTGTGTGTGTGTGTGATTGAGTGAGTGAGTGAGTGAGTGAGTAAGTGTGTGAGTGTGTGTGTGTGTGTGTGTGTGTGTGTGTGTGTGTGTGTGTGTGTGTGTGTGTGTGTGTGTGTGTGTGTGTGTGTGTGTGTGTGTGTGTGTGTGTGTGTGTGTGTGTGTTTGTGATTGAGTGAGAGTGTGTGTGTGATTGAGTGAGTGTGTGTGTGTTTGAGTGAGTGAGTGAGTGAGAGTGAGTGAGTGAGTGAGTGAGTGTGTGTGTGTGAGTGAGTGAGTGAGTGTGTGTGTGTGTGTGTGTATAATATCTATAGAATTATTGATTTGTTTATCTATTATTTTTAATTTGTTTTATAATTATTAAAAATAATAATTACATATATATATTATAATATAAATTGATAATAAATAATTAAATAACACAAATATCCACATTAAAAGACACATATTTTCATTCATATATTTTTAACCAAGCAAATGAATTAGTTTATCAAATGTATTTGCATGTATATCTTTGGCAGTTAATTGATATATTTATTAATCTATATTTATATATTAACTATTAATAATATGAATTATTATTGACCTGTCAGCTTGCGGAACTCATTTTATAAACCTAACTTTCACACAGCAACGTTGTGCTCGATTAAGCTCATTTGAATATGGTAATACATGCTCTCTAGAAGAAAATTGAGAGCCAGTGACATTTCAAAAATATTAATAAAACTGATTCTGAGCTGCATTTCTAACAACCTCTTCAGTACAGCAGACTGACCCTGAATCTGTGAGGATCCAGGCAGGGGTCAGAGGTCACAGGTCCAGCACAGGGGTCACAGGGTCAAGTGAGCGAGTTCAGACCTGACACTGAAGAGAGACTGAACTCGATCAGAGCTGAGAAACAGATCACAAACATAAACATAACTGTACTTTATTCAGCAAGCATGCATTCAATTGATCAGAACATTGAACATTTATACTTTTTATTCATCAAAGAATCCTAAAAACTGTATCAAGGTTTTCCACACACATATGAAGAAACAACATTAATAATAATAATCATAACTGTTTCTTGAGCATCAGATCCTCATATTATAATGATTTCTGAAGGATCATGTGACACTGAAGACTGGAGTAATGATGCTGAAAATACAGCTTTGATCACAGGAATAAATTACACTTTACTAGATATTCACACAGAAAACAGCTGATTTACATTAGAATAATATTTCACTGTTTTTACAGTATTTTTTATCAAATAAATGCTGCCTTGGTGAGCAGTCTATTTTCATAATGGTAGTGTGTGTATAGGCCTAAAATTATATATGTACAGTATAAACGCTGTCAATCAATTACTAAATTAACTAATTAATCACACATTTTTCTGTAATTAGTAGCAATTAATCATCATTTTTAGTTCTCAATTTCTGGGGATAATATTACAGTAGCTATATTAAATATATATGCACACACACACACACACACACACACATATATATATATATATGTGTGTGTGTGTGTGTGTACTGTACATACAGAACCTTTATATAATAAAAGTTATTCACCTTATTTATTTACAGTCCACATTAAAGGACATATTTTTATTATTATTAATATATATATTCATAATAATTCATATATTTTATTAATAATTTATATAATATACACGAGCAGCGCTGGAAACATGAGAGTGTTTCTCCCTCAGTGACTCTGAACATCACGTGACCTTCACAATCACGTCCTGGAGTTTGAACTCATTAGAATTATTACCATAATTACATTCCAACTTGTTCCCATCTTAGTAAAACACACGTGTCGTGTAATTACCGGAACTGTCTGAGAGCTCCACTCGCACCACCTGACCTGCGGATGGATTTGTTGAGGAAGTTGCAATAGAAAAGCATAGGCCTTAATTTCCAGTCCACGGAAGTGAACAGCTTTGACATCACGTGTTGTTATCACAAAATTACAGTAGAACACGTGAACATAAGAGGCCTGACCTTTCCTCGTGTTGGTCAAACTCACAAACTCTTCATAGTGTGAGTGTGTTGTAATCTGGACGCACTATATTCACCATGTTGTCATTGTCATGTGACCTTCCAGTCAGTTGCGTCGCTTCACTGACATTGATGGATGGATGGATGGATTGACTGATTAATGATTGATTGATTGATTCATTGGATGATTAATTGGTTGATTGATTATTAAAATTAAAGCTGCAGTCCCTAACATTTGGCGCTCTAGCGGTTAGTTAACAGAACTGCATGCATCTTGCGGAAGAACATTGTAGCTGGAACTACTTCTTTCTGTTTATGTCTATGACGAGTTACGCACAAACCAGTCTAAAATAGTCCGAATATAAACACTTATTATAGGCGTATCATAGTGATTCAGGATAAGACAAAAACACGGTTTGGAAAATGGATTTATGACATCCTTGCTCATTATATAATTTTTGGACATTTTGAACACAAAAAAGTTATGGACTGCAGTTTTAACTAAAAATATTTCTGTCAATTGAAATAAAGCTGAAATAAAATAGAATATGAACGTTAGTTGACAAACTTAAACTAAATGAAAATTAGAAATATTGTATTGGCAATAAAATTAAATAAGATTAATTTTGACATTATTAACTGGACATAAATAAATAATAAAAAAGGAAACCTAAATGGTATTTCTTTTAAACAAAAACACTGACAAAAGCACATAACAAAATGTATAAAAATTAAACTATCGAACATGACAACTACAAATATAAAAATAATGGCTTGTTTAAAATATTAATAAAACTAAAATAAAAACAACAAACTTGAAATGTTTTGCTTGAAAAATGTGCTTTCTTTAAAATATTTTCATTTCTAGTGCAATAACATTACAACATTTAAGTATAATTCAGTTGGATTGAATTGAATTAAGCATTCAAATACTTTTTAGGCCCACCTTATTGTATAATTATAAACCATTACTGATCATAAACTAAAATAAAACATAATATTTCTCAGTGAAAAGGCCCACAGGTCAATTTCTTTATATATTTTTGAATATATTTCAAAATATACAAAAAAAAAAATCCCCCAAAATACGGATGCTAATATATATTTACATAAGTACCTATAGTCCAAAATATATTCTAAGATTGTAAATTTATTATTTTGGCCTTTGAAGTACATTTTATAACATATTTTGACATTTGAAGCGGCTGATTTATTGCAGATTCACGTCAGCATGATATTGCTTTGGTGTAGTTTGAATGCAGTATAAGTCATCTTAAACCTGTTCATTCTACAGATCACACTCGTATATAATTGATATATATATATAGTACACTAGGGTAGCCAGAAAAGAGTCTCTGGGTGTGCATAAGAAAAACTGGGTGTGCCACATTTATTGTCAGATTAATGTGCAATAAACCCAGACTCTGCCTATCTCTAACTTTACAGAATAGACTGGGTTGATGTGTAAAACTATAGGCTACTCAGCGCCACATAAACATAATACTATATAAAATATAACTCAGGGCTCGACATAAAGCCTCTTCATGTACTTGTCTTTCGAACAAGTAAATCGGTCAAAAAATTACTTGTCCAGAAAAAAATGCAATAATAAAGCAATATTCTCATCAGTCTTCAGTCAACTTTGACATATTTAAATCTGCATATTTATGATATTTTAACCTTTATAAAGCGCATTTTTCCTTAATCATTTCAAATATATGCTTCATCTTTCATTTAAAATTTTAAAATTTGATCAATAAATTAAATTAAAATAATAAGACACTGGCTGCTACCAATCAAATTAAATAATTTACAGTGAAAAATTACAATGGCATTAAATAATGTTATGAGATTGTTTTAAATGTTTTTTTTGAATATACAAATATGAAATATTGGAAAGAATGATACTTTTAAACACAAAACTAAACCAAAACGAAACCACCAATAGGTGGCGGCAGATCGCCGTCTTACTGTGAGTCGTTGAACCATTTATTCAACCGATTCATTCAAAACGCTGAATCATGATTCAGATTCAGTAATGCGGTTCTGGTGAGATGCGCTGTGGTTCTGCTGTGATTTTGTTTGGAACTATTTTCGCTGCTCAAATACAACAAAAAACAGTCAATATATTGTGTCTAAAATGTAAGTATTAATTTGTTTATTAAACTGTCATATGAAATCAGTGGCACATTTTCAATCGTGATGGTATTGCACTCGTTGTGTGATGTTGCTTAACTGTATCATATCATATGTTATAAATATAAGAACTCCACATGAATTTCTACCGCTGTGTATGTTCATTTAGTTTTTTTTTGTGTGATCTGGGCTCATTTGTTTCCATTTCTCATGAGACACGAGCCTCAACAGCGCAACCGTGTTACCGTATGACAGTCAGGGGCTGTTTGCGGATTGGTTGGCAGTCCAAATGTCGGCAGATTTTTTTCTACGATAATAATTAAAACATTTAATTCATTTTAAATTAACAAATTGTAAGTAAATAACAATAGGTCAAGTTTAGATTTTTATTGTTTTATCAAGACTTAAAAAATTATTCTGGACTATTTTTAGGTGTGCCAGCTGCCACTGTGGGTGGCACCGGCACACCCTGGCACACCCGTGGCTACGCCACCAGTGATTATAGTATATTACAGTATATATACACTCACTGGCCTTCTCTAGTGAGATGAACAGGCTCAGTCTCTGTCGCCTCCTAGTGGCTCAATCAGGGAAGTTGCACTGTGGAGATTCTCACTGAAACAAATTGTTTAAGGTTGCTTTTATGTTCACGTGTTATATAAAAACAGTAAACATTATAATTAACACTCAAAACATTTATTTTCATTTCAATACTGTAGCATGTACATAACAGAAAGAGGCAAAGATCCTTCAAATGACCCTGAACATGTAAAGCAGAAATATTCATCATCCCTATAAAGCTGTGAATTCATTCAAGCGCAATAAATGTAGCAATGTTGAAAAGTAGTGCAAGTATTCTTATATCGGTAGTCTGATCTTTATAGTTATTCATATGTGGACAGGAAAGAGTCTGGCATCATGAACTCACACACGCACACACACACACACACACACACACACACACACACAGTAAAGCTTGATGTATTAATGCGCGGGTTTGAAGTCTGTTCTCTGTTCCTCCATCCGTCCTCCCTGGACCTTCAGCAACAGAGAGAAGAAATCCTCATCGTCCATGGGCCCCGGGGCCGAGCTGCGCTGCTCCTCCAGACGCCCCTGGGCCTGCAGCCGGACACAAGATTCAGCATATTATTCACTGTTTAATAATAATAATAATATTTAAATTATGAAAAACTTTGATAATAATTTATATCATTTTGTGTGTGTGTGTGTGTGTATATATATATATATATATATATATATATATAAATAAAATTATTTAAAAAACTTTGATAATAATTTATATCATTTTGTGTGTGTGTGTATATATATATATATATATATATATATATATGTAGGCCTAAGTGTGTATACTGTACATACAGAACCTTTATATTATAATAAAAGTTATTCACCTTATTCATTTACAGTCCACATTAAAGGACTTTTTTTTATAAATATATATTTTAAACCAATCAAATTCATTTACTGTAGTGGCATGTTTCTGAAATGAATTTGTATTTATAGCCTATCTTTGATATATAATTTATTTGCATTTACAATTCATAATATTTTATTATGATCAGTTTTTTCATAATATCATTATTAATAATAATCATAATAATTAATTAAATAATTTAATTTAATAAATTAAATTATGAAAAACTATATATATATATATATATAATAAATTAGTATTATTAAAGTTTTTCATCAGCATAATAATAATATAAAAAAGTTAAATAATAATAAATATATATATATATGGGCCTGTTAAAAAAAGGTAATTATTATTATTAGATAATAATAATAATATAAAAACTTTAATAAATATCAATTAAAAAATAAATGTGTGCCTGGTTAAAATAATTAACTGGGCCTGCAGCCGAGAACACAATATTCATCAAATTATTATTCTTTTTTGAATAATAATAATAATAATATTTAAATTATGAAAAACTTTGATAATAATTTATATAATTTTGTATATATATATATATATATATATATATATATATATATATATAATATTTGTATTATGATCAGTTTTTGTCATAATACAATTATTAATAATAATCATCATAATAATCATTTTATAAATTAAATTATGAAAAACTATATATATATATATATATATAGTGTGTGTGTGTGTGTGTGGTTTTGAGAGCGTTTAGACCAAATTTAGGACAGAAATTCACTCTGCTCATGTTTTATGAACGAGGCTCATTCTTCTGTAAATTATTCCACTGAATGTAACACGACAATTTCCATAAGAATAGTTTTATGAATGATCTACACTGAAAAGCTATTATTATTAAAGTTTTTCATCACCATAATAATAATATAAAAAAGTTAAATTATAATAAATAAATAAATATATATATATGCCTGGTAAAAAAAAAGTTATTATTATTATTAAATAATTATAATAATATAAAAACTTTAATAATTATCAATTAAAAAATAAATGTGTGCCTGGTTAAAGTAAAATGTTTAAATTATTATTATTAACCTCTTAATAATAAAAAACAATTGTATTAATCTGCTTAATAAAAACAAATTTGCATATAGTAAAAAAAAAAAAAACTGGAAACATGTTTTCAAAATCATGTTAACTATTTTCTCTCACTTGTGTAGATGTGTCTTTCTACATGAATATATACAAATCATATTTTTGTCACCAAAAAGTTTGATAACCCGTGTGTTAAGTGACCCATACGCATATCTCCCAGTGTTTGTGACTCGGATATCCCGGAAGCGCTCACTTGCGAGTTGACGATCATGTTGTATAAGTCCTCTTTGGGTGTTTGCGTGGGAAGCTTTCGGGTGACCTCTGTGACCTTGCAGCTGCTCTTCCTCAGTTTGGCAGTGGTCAGGACGGGCGGGGGGGCCTCCAGGATTTCGACGGTGGTCAGGACGGGCGGGGGGGCCTCCAGGAGCTCGGCTCGCTGCTCGTCCAGGCGACGGCCCTGAGAGGTCGCCAGCAGGTCGAAGAACTCCTCCTTCTGCAGGGACGTCATGGAGGAGAACACCACTGTGTGCAGAGAGAGACAGGCATGAGCAGGGTTGGGGAAAGCTACTTTTAAAAATACCCCCAGATCATGTATTAGGCCTATAGCTTGTTATATTTGCCCTTGTAGTGCTGAGCAAATAATACATTTAATTTATAGGCGCCTTTCATGGCACTCAAGGACACCTTACAAAATCCATAAAGTAATCACATTAAACAATAAAACCAAGGGGCTGTTTACACCTGGCCACTTCATGCGTTTTCTGTGATCTGATAGCTATCCGATCGTGAAAAGACTCCGAAACGCATTCGAGACGGATTTGAATCCGATCGCTCAAACCACATCAGTCTGGGCCGCATTCCAGATGAAACTGGACAAGTGTAAATGCATCTGGTTGTTGAAACCACATATGTAAATTTTACTCCTCCCAAAAATCCTAAAAAAAAAATAATCGTGTGAGAGCGTGTTATAGGCTATATATGTCATGTTATAGTCAGATATGACGACGCTACTGCAACACGCATCACCTCAGATGAGCAGCTGAGCGTCTATTCATCAAGCCAACGTGCAAACTATCGCGAATCAAAGTGAAAGTAAGTCGCAGACGCTTAACACACAATCATCTTCATTAAAAGTAAAGAAACGAAATGATCTGACCAGTTCTGTTAACGCTCTCTTAGTGCGGTCTTTGATTTTGAAATTAGCTGATGATCAATAAAATGCAGCAATATCTGTTGCTTTCGGTGACGTGCACTCCATTAAATCTGCAGCGGGAATTGAAGATCGGATTTATATCCGTTTTGCAAAAACACATTTATGTAGCTATTGTGACCAGGTGTAAATGGAATCGTTTTGATAAATCAGATAACTATCCGATTCCGATCTGAGGAAAAGCATGAAGTGGCCAGGTGTAAACAGCCCCATAAATGTGTTTTTGCAAAACGGATATAAATTTGATCTTCAGTTCCCGCGCTATATGCAGATTTAATGGAGTGCACGTCACCGAAAGCAACAGTTCGAGCTGCATTTTATTTTTCATCAGCTAAAATTTCAAAATCAAAGACGCACTAAGAGAGAGCGGCAACAGCACTGGTAAGATCATTGCGTTTCTTTACATTTAATGAAGATGATTGTGTGTCTGGACTCACTTTCACTTTGATTCGCGATAGTTTGCACGTTGGCTTGATGTATAGACGCAGCTGCTCATCTGCGGTGATGCATGTTGCAGTAGCGCCATCATATCTGTCTATAACATGACATATAGCCTATAACACGCTCTCACACGTTTATTTTTTAGCATTTTTATGAGGAGTCAAATTTATATATGTGGTTTCAACAACCAGATGCATTTACACTTGTCCAGTTTCATCTGGAATCAGACTGATGTGGTTTGAGCGATCGGATTCAAATCTGTCTCTAATGCATTTCGGAGGGCATTTACACCTGGCCTTTTCACGATCGGATAGCTATCAGATCACAGAAAACGCATGAAGTGGCCAGGTGTAGACAGCACAGACCAAAAGACTAGAACTAGAACTAGCGAACTTCTACCGGAAGTGAGTTCATAAACGAGGATCCGCATAACCAAGAGCTTGTGACCCTATAGAAGGCGTCCGAGTGCGTGGAAGAACAAGTGCAAGTGCAGAAGCCGATCTTAAAATGCGGGAAGGGGTATCTATATGAACAAGATCTAGAAGATATGAAGGAGCCAAGTTGTTAAGTGCTTTGTAAGTTAAAAGTAGCATTTTAAAATTGACACGGAATTTAACTGGGAGCCAATGCAAATTTTGTAAAACAGGAGAAATATGTTCAGAAATGGAAGTTTCTGGGCAGAACTCTTTGCTGCCATAGTACTTCAGAAATCCTTTTAAAGGTATACATGTGTATTACGACCCCTGAGATAGTCTAGGGGTTCAGGGGTCTAACATTTAAAATTTACATTAAAGAGAAACATATAATCTATGTGCTGTACAAAGAACCACCAATCCAGGTAACTGTGCAAAAAGCCAATACCTTTATTCAGTACAAAAAGGTTAAAGGCAAGAATTAAGCACGACAAACACGTAAAGAATATAAAGAATATATACAGTGGATACAGTATTTCTGGCGACAGTCCTTCTCCAGTGGTGGAGCCCCAACTACTACCTCCCAAGCCCTTCGCTGGAGATCCAAGTTCCTGCCAGGGATTCCTCACCCAGTGCTCCCTCACCTTCGAGCTCCAACCCTCAAGTTTTCCCACGTGCCGTTCCAAGATTGCTTAAATTATTACCCTTCTGTCAGACAAGGCTCTCTCCTGGGCCTCTGCGGTGTGGCAGTCCCAGGAGGCCTGTTGTGGTTCCTACGCGGCATTGGTGGAAGAGTTAAAGCGAGTGTTTGATAATCCGGGATCGGGAAGCTTGTTTTCAGGGAGGGTTATCTGAGCCCCTTCAAGATGAGTTAGCCACCTGGGAACCAGCTGAGGATCTCGAGTCCCTCATAGCAATGGGCCTCCGCCTGGACAATCGTCTAAGGAAGGGGAGATCGGCTCGCCGCCAGGTGTCCCAGTCCCAAGGCAAGTCTGTTTCTCCAACTTGTGTTCCTTCCTCCAGAGCTTTCCCGGCTTTTGAACAGCTTCAGGATTCCCCGGAGGACATGCAGTTGGGCTGTTCCAGGCTTTCTCCAAAGAAGAGGTAATGTCAAGTCACATTTATTAACCAAAACTCCATCAGGGCAGAATGGAGAAAAAAATCTTGGAAGAAACCAGGCTCAGTCGCTTCGTTCTTCTCTGGCCAACGAACGAACAGTGTATGATTTTGATTCAGGCAGCATTATAAGTCAGATTAGTTTGGAACAATCAGAATATTATCCAGTTCCAGCTGGTTTAAGATCAGAGTCATCACACCGGGATGGAGACGGGTTTGTTGAGGATCAGTGCTGATGGCTGTCGTGTCGATTAGGCCTTCGATGAGAGTCTAGTAGTTGACACACGTCACATTAAGGAGCGTCGGTGCCTCTACTGCGGTGCTTCCGGCCACTTCTGCTCCACTTGCCCCGAGCTTTCAAGAAATGCCTCTCCCCGCCCAGCTACAGGAGGGCTGTGATGGGGAAAATTAGAGCTCCTCCCACTAACGCTGTCCTAGCTGTTCCTGCCACTCTCTCCTGGGAGGGCCACCAGCATCAGGTCCAGGCCATGATCGATTCCAGCGCCGCAGGCAACTTCCTAGATCTGACCTTGGTAAGCCCCGTCAAGGGGGCCACCACAAGGCTGAAATTCTTAATGAACCTCCTATAGAAGTTCGCAAAGCCAATGAAACGTTGAACCTCCTTGAATGTTGCAGGTTTGGGCCAGTTGTGGACTGCCTTTACCTTCTTAGGGTCCATTTCCAGGTGGCTAGGAGTGACGATGAACCCGAGAAACTGAGTCTGGGAAAAATTAAATTAATTTCTGAGTCTCTAGAGAACTCTGCTAACATGCCCCTCATGCTCCTTCAGTGACCTCGAGAAGATGAGGATTTCGTCCAGGTATATGAAGACGAATAGATTGAGCAGGTCCCGGAGAACGTCAATACAAGGCCTAAGACCCCCGCCTTTCTTCTCTACAAAAAAGAAGCCCGCCCCAGCCAAGGGAGGTACCGATACCGGATGCCAAGGACTCCCTAATGTAGGTCTCCATAGGTGAGCGCTCGGGGGAAGATTAGGAGAAGATCCGGCCCCTGGGAGGGCAGGAACCAGGGAGTAGATCAATAGCACAGTCATAAGTGAGGTGGAAAGCAGGTAGCCCGGGACTTGCTGAACACTGCCTTGAACCAATGGTAAACACTGGGGACAGGTCGACAGACTCTTGAAACCAGTCGATCTGGGGATTATGTCTGCGCAGCCAAGGGTGACCCAGGATAATAGGATACTCTGGGGAGTCAATGAGATAGAAGGTCTCCTCCTGCTGGTTTTGAAAGATGGTAAGACGCAGGGACTGAGTCGCCTCTGTTACTTTGCCTGGTTCCAGAGGTCTGCCATCCAAGACTGTGACTGCCTGGGGTTGAGGAAGTAGTTGGGTAGTGATATTAAGTTCCTTAGCCAAGGGAGGAGGAATCTCAAGCGCTGCTTCACTTCCGCACTTATCCCTGACCCAGAAAGACCTTTTGTGTTGGAGGTGGACGCCTCAGAGGTGGGGGTGGGGGCCATCCTGTCACAGAGGGGTGAGGATGGAAAATTACACCCTTGTACCTTCATGTCTACACAACAGCCACCCCAGGGACTGCTCAATCTCTTACCTGTTCCCCGCAGGCCATGATCGCACCTTTCTCTGGACTTTGTTACGGGACTCCCTCTGTCCCAGGGCAACACAGTCATCCTGGTGGCTGTAGACCAGTTTTCTAAGGCTGCCCTGTTTATTCCCCTGCCCAAGCTGCCTTCGGCCAAAGATACTGCTAAGCTCCTCATGAACAATGTCTTCTGGATATTTGAAAATCCCCTGGACATTGTCTCCGACCGAGGTCCCCAATTCTGGTTCTGGGGGACCTTCTGCTGGCTTATTGGGGCCACAGCCAGCTGGTACCAAGTCGATACTGAAATTTTAAAAATGTGACGCTTTGAGCGCTGTAGAGCGGAATCGTAAACACCTCAGAATTGCCATTGTACTCACTCGCTCATCAAATATGTCTGTGATTGGCTACAATGATCAGCGCTTCAAAAACATGTTGTAAATATACGTACATCAATGACGCTCTACAGCGAGCGCTTACACCGATACACACGGGAGCGTTTGAAAGCAGAACCGATCCGCTGGCAAAGATAGACGCCTGCTTGTGCTTTCAAACGCTCCTGCTTTCAAAACACTTTCAAACACTTCTGTGTGCTCTCAAACGCTCCCGTGCATTGAGCATTGTTGCCAATCCCAGACATATCCGATGAGCTTGTGAACACAATGGCCAATCAGAGGTGTTTATGAGGCTCAACAGTGCTCAAAGCGTCACATTTTTTAAATTTCGACTTGCTACCAAAGTCGGTTCTTTTGATAACACTAAGCCAGCCTATCGCCTGGGTTCCATCCAGAGTCTAATGGCCAGACGGAACGGATTAATCAGGATCTGGAGACCACCTTGCAGTGTATGGCGGCCAGTAATCCCACGTCTTCGGCCACCTATATCATTATGCCCACAACACCCTCCATTCCTCGGCTACTGGATAATCCCCCTTCGAATGCCAGTTCGGACCCCCCATTATTCCCAGAGGAAGATGCGCAAGTTGGTGTTCCCTCGGCCCAGCTCTGTAGGTAGACCTGGAGGAAGGCCAGGCGTACCCTCCTTCGGACCTCCCAGAGATACCAAAACCAGGCTAACTTACAGGTCAAAGAGTTTGGTTAGCCACTAAGAACCTGTCGAATCCAAGAAGCTTTCCCAGAAATACATCGGCCCTTTTCGCATAGCAAGGACAGTAAACCCTGTTTCTTATCACTTGCTTCTCCTTCCCTCACTTAGAATTAACCCCACGTTTCATGTCTCATTATTAAAACCTGTCTTGTCTCCCTTTTTTTTCTCCCTTCTCCCTACTGTTTTTATTCATTTTGTGTTTTCGTGCAAGTGAGATGAGTAAATGCATGTTCACATTTAGTCTAGAGCTAAAACAACCAACACCTCCTCACTTTATATCTCTCAACATGGGGACAGGAGAGCTATCAGTCAATAAATCAGAAAAAGTAACTAGCGTTACTTATTTGAAAGAGTAACTTAGATATTTTGTTGTAAATTAAAAAAGTAATCTAATTGTTTAACTCAAGTTACTTGAAATGAGTTACCCCAACACTGGTCATGACAGCCCTGCTGAAGCCCTGTGGTGTGTTATGCTGAAATGTGTGTGTCTTCACCTCTCTGGCTGTGGGCTCGAGGTTGGTGTGTTATTATGCTGAAATGTGTGTGTCTTCACCTCTCTGACTGTGGCGAGGAGTGCTGGGCTCGGAGTAGCATCTTCTACGGTGTTCCAGGCGGAACGAACAGCGCTGGTCGTTGAGCCGTCGGCCCTCCTGTAACGCGAACAACAGCTCACACAGAGCGTCAGGGAAATCTGGAGATAACCTGTGAACCTGAGCACACGGACAACAGATCATAGCACATCTAAAACATCCACAAGATTCCAGATATGGCTTAGTTTCAGATTGCTTAGCAAAGCAATATTATATATATTATACATTTATGGGTGAACAAATTCAGTTAGAACATATATATATATGTGTGTGTGTGTGTGTGTGTGTGTGTGTGTGTGTGTGTGTGTGTGTGTGTGTGTGTGTGTGTGTGTGTGTGTGTGTGTGTGTATGTATATCCATGTTTTTACTGAATATAGTTGTTCACCCATAAATGTCAGATTACGAAAGTACAATTATTATCACCTTTTTTTATAATAATAATAATATTTAAATTATGAAAAGCTTTAATTATATATGTATATATATATGAAGAAATATAAATATATATATATAAAAAATAATATTAACTTTATTCAACACCATAATAATAATAATAACAATAATAATATAAAATACTTTAACTATAATAATTCAAAAAATTAAATATTTGTTGGCCTTATTAAAATAAATTTTATATTTTATAACATTAAATATATAAAAAACAAATCATAATAAAAAAAAACTTTAATAATAATAATTTTTTTAATTAAATGTACCTTAAGTTTGTTCATAATAATAACAATAATAATATTCCCAAAAATGATTATTAACTTTTTAATAATAACAATATGAAAAACTTTATTAATAATAATGAAAATGAAATGTATATGGGCCTGGTAAAAAAATAATATTTAAAATGATTATTATTAGCTTTTTTTATAATAATAATGTAATAATAATATAAGATTGTCAGATTACGAAAGTACAATGGATTGCATACAGTATACAATGATGACTTTAAATGCTGAAAATTCAGCTTTGATCACAGGAATAAATGACACTTTACTGTATATTCACATAGAAAATAACTATTTTACATTGCAAAAATATTTTTAGAAAAATTACTGTATCAAATAAATACAGCCACGGTGAGCAGAAGAGACTAAGAAAAAAACATTAAAGAAATCTTACTGACCCCTAACTTTTGAGCAGTGTTTATACTAATATATATGCTAAAAAAAAAATGAATTAGCATTATCTGGTAGCATATTTCACAGCTTAAAAACTAGAAGAGACGAGCCCTTCAACAGTCCCGCCCCAAACACGTCAGCACAGGAAAGAAACGGCATTTGTCAAGCCATGGCATCTTCTAAATGACACATTATTATTATTATTATAATACAACTTTACCATTGCCTTTGCATCATGAGGGCTCAGTCTGTCTTTGGGCCGCAGCTTTACTTCAGCTTGAGCATTTGGTTTTTCCTCTGGCATCTTGTTTTGTTCAGTCATCCCGCTTGACAATCCCTCCTCATTTTCTGTATCTTTCTCACAGCCCATGTGATCGTCCACCTGATGCTCTAGACTCTCCTCGATCATTTCTAT